TGGGTTTATAGTATTTATACAATAACAATGTTATAAAAATATAATGATAAAATATAGCCCATATAATAACTATTAAAGTTATTTTTCATATTATTTTCGTCTACAGGAAATTCATATTAAAATAGTAAATTATAAATATACTAAAAATTTCATTTAATAATATGCATTATTATTTGCACTAAAATTAACTTAATTTAGATACTTTTAAATAAAATTAACTTAAAGTTAACACGTTAATCTTAAAAAAAAAAGTAACTTAATAAGTTAAAAGTTAATTTGTAAAAAAAATAACAAGTTAATTAACTTAACGTTTTAACTTAATTTTAACTTTTAACTCGTTAATGCCCAGCCTTGCATGTCGGTATATTCAAAATAGGTAACTGTCGTTAGAATATTTATTCGGATCGATTTCGAACAGGTGAACTTTCAACCGTCGCAGCATTTGCCCACGGTACGCCGGATATCGTGTGCACAGGCACGCGCGTCATGTGCTAATGCTTCGGTCGCAAAGTTCTCTACTTGAGTACAACAATATGTGTTTCTCGTGCTGATAGATGTTTTTCCAATGTTACCGATTATACAAGAGAGGGCGACAAATGGGTGTATCCGAGGGCTGTAAACAATGCCCGTCTGCCTCAACATCGGAACGCCGCTTTTAATCTCGTCTTACAAATAAGTGGTGTTTATTTTCCGATTCAAACACGAAAACAATAATCGTAAACCGTTCTCCGAATAATCATCGATCTACTACTGATCATTAATGTGTCTGTCGGTTAAATTATCTAAAATTACACTTCTTACCTTATGCACTAAACGGACACACAAGTCGACGCGGTTGAAATTGATTATGCATTTAATAAAAACAATAATGTCCACGCAAGAAGGAAACACCGATGAACATTTTTGACTGAGTGACGCCCGAATTCGTTCACAACTTGTATTTATTTTATAAAAAAAAAAAAAACTAGCTTGACAATACGCAATGCCGTAGCAACCAATTATTGCGCCCGAGGTGTAACTTTAAAAGGCACCCTTGTGTATTTTTAATTTAGACTATTAGATATTATCAACAGTTGTTTCGATTAATATAAAGGAGTGTTGAAGGTTTTGTAAATTAAATACACAACATCGATTGTTTTTAGCATAAAATACAAACCTTTCATTTTTGCGAATGGACAAACAGTAATTAACTATGATTTTTATATTGAAGTTTTAAAACGTTTTAGGAATAGGAATATTATTACTGTTATTGTATTATATGCATGTTTTACTATTATTTACTGTCATGAAACATGCTACCTACACCAGTATCCGAAGGTAATTTAATTAAGTATTATGTTTACAATGAACAATTGTTTCAACTTCTTAATGTAACATATTAATGGAACATGGAAGTAGAAACCGTATGGAGTATGAACTTAACTTGAAATATAAAAATATAACAAGGGAGACTATATAATGATATTTTAAAATGTATGTGACCACTGTCAAAAAATAAGGCGGTACAATAAAAAAAAAAAAAAGGTTTAGTTGCAAAATCTATACTTTCATTAGTATTGAACTCTCGCTGTCGAGTTCATTTAATAGACATTCAAGCCCAACCTGATGACGATTACAAGTTCATAATGGTCTATCAAAATCACCTCTCAAAGTTCGTAATTCTTAGACCGTTAACTCATAAACGGGCTGAAGAAGTAGCCTACGTGTTAGGTAATCGATATTTTTAAAACACTTGGAGCCACGGCAATTTGGCAAAGTGATAATTGAAAGGAATTCACCAATAAAGTTATTATTGAGTTGTGTAGTATGTGGGAAGATCTTAAGATTGTCCACGGAAAGAGACACCGAAATTCAAGAATCTGTTGAAAGGGCCAATCAAGATATTCAAAATAAACTCGCAACATGGTTAGCCGATAATAATTCCAGAAAGCGAAGCGAACGTCTTAAGTTCGTTCAATTTATGAGCAATCGGAGTTTTCACCATGGTACAAAACGTTCACCGTACGAAACTATTTTCGGACAGAGGCGCCATTTGGGGGGGGAGCAGGGTGTGCACTTGCACATCCTGAATTTTTTTCTTATTCAATTATTGACTATTGGCCTAGGCGTCACTGATACATGACCTTGCCGCCTTGGTCTTCAGTTTTCCAATGTTTAACATTGTGCATGCTCCACGGCTAATCAGTAATCACTGCTAATCATAAATGTTGGCCTGGTGGTGGGAAAAAAATTGGCCTCTTTAATTGCTTGCACACCTTTAAAAAAAACTGAAATGGCGCCACTGTGTTCGGAACACACGCTAAAATTGGCTTAAAATCAAACTAAAATTCAACCGATTTAATTTCTACTTTGAAATCAGAGGAAGACTTAGAAAAAGCTCTAGGCTGTGCAGTTGATAACGATGACAAAAACGAGAAACACGAAAAAAATAATGGAGTGATAAGGACAGTGCAAAACAACTTTTTTTCTGACGAAGATGAAAACGATCAAATAAAATTGCGAATAGGATCAATTTCTTCAAATCGATCAAATACCGCTGAAAATCTTTAAATACAATCTAACAAAATGAACAATTTTTCTGAAGAACGTTTGTAACTCTTTCGACTATTTCTCATAAAAATGTTAGTTTACCTTAGCCTAATTACACCAAATATTTTTTTACAAACATATTTGAAAAGTATTCCAAAGATTTTTTTAAAGTATTTGAGTAGTATTTAAAATACTATACAATTTAAGTATCTTAGTAGTTAGTATCTTAAATACTTGAAAAAAAATGTATTTGAGTATTCACCTAAATACTTTTTAAAAGTATTCTTTACAGCTCTGATAAAAGATAATTTATATGAAATTGAAACAAAAAAGGGTAGACTATTCATCAACTCTACAGTCGAAACCAATTTACGATATGCAAAGAGGTGTTTATCCATGAGGAACCACCAGTAAAATTTCATTATAAGAAGTGGCATGAAAATCTAATTTGGGTGGCTAATGGTACGATAGGTGTACTTGCAATACATTGTATAAGACCAACCAGTCTTATTTATAGTTCTCAAATGAGCAACACAATAATGTTTATTACTTAAATATAAAATATAGTAGGTAAATCAAATGTATACACCTGATTATCGGACCACGGCGATGAACAATGGTTTTCCGAATGACAAGCCAAGATGACGTACACGACGTACTTGATATTGTTCGGATTATAAGTTACTAGCACTAAGATGGTAATATGTCAACGGTTGTTCTATATGTTATAATTGACTATTGACGTTGTAAGCTGTTGTATCTCTTCCAGTCATACAATATTATATCAGGCATACGAACAAATTCGGCTAAAAAAAACCAACAAGTTTTAGGCTTGCATAAAGCAGCCGAACAGTTTATAAATTATAATAACATTTATTTTATTTTTTTGCTGTCAAGATAACCAATAAGTGAATCCATTACATAAATTTATCATAAATTGAAATGTAAATCAACGGTTTTCAGAAAATTCTTTATACCAAAAACATGTTGGTACATGAATCATAAGAAAATCACCAGTATTTTCATTAAAGTCAGTTTGGCAGTATCAAAGATTAGGTTCAGCAACCAATTTCTCCGTAAAATAAAAATATTTATTCAAATAAGGACACATGGAAAATTGTTAACATATGAAAGTTATACGCTTAAAAGTGATGATTACAAAAATTGAACAAATGGAACAATTTTAGAAAATTGATAAGATTTACATTTTAACACATTGTTTCTTAAAAAAAAACGAATATAATTGGTATATGTCAGCGGTTCTCAAACTGTGCTCCGCGGAACCCTAGGGCTCCGCGGAAGATGTCTAGGGGCTCCGTGGGCATGTATTGATTATCTAAATTTAAATATTATCGTATTTCTTAGTTGTCGAGGAAAAACGCTGGTACGGTTACCTGAATTGCGCAACGAGTAATACGTTTTAGTGACACCAATTCTATTCACAAGTAAGACTTCCGATAAAATTTGGTTATCATGACTTCATAACTTGGCTGGCATTTTCTCAAAATTAAACGGAGTAAATCTATCAACACAACGTAAAATGACCAAAGTTTTCACGGTAAATGACAAAATCCGAACTTTAAAAAAAATGAAATTTTGAACTGTGCGTTTTTCTAAGTACGGAATATTAATACTTATTGTTGTCTTGAATGTAAATTCCTGATTTTCGGTGCTCCGTAGATTTTTTTGAAAACATAAGGGCTCCGCGGACAAAAAAAGTTTGAGAACCACTGGTTTATGTAATTAAATTGTTGTAAGTTATAAAATTAAATAATATTTATATCATTCAGTATTAGCTATAAAGAAAACTATTTTTTTTTTCAAAACATTTTAAAATTTTAAAATTTAAATAATTCGTTTAGAGGACAGTTAGTTTGGTTCAAAATCTGCCATAAGCCGTAAAAGTAAACAGTTTTTCATCATTCTAGAGATTTTTGTTAACAAATTAAACTTATTGGGTAAGAAGTTTAGATATTACTAATGTGCTCCTGCGAGTAAAATGTTAAAGAAATCAAAGAAAACCATTCATAATAAATATTGTAAATATTTTAATAGATTAACTAATAATTTATTAATTATACTAATGGGATTGATTTATCTTAACTTATCATTCATTTTGATAACTATATAATAATTCAAATATATTATATAAACATAAGGTCTTCAAGATGTAACGTAACTATTGGAATAAAATTGAAAAATAAATAAATTTAATACTAATTTAGATATAATGTGATCCAACCCTGTAGCTTCTAATCACATAACTCACAGGTTGAAGACCATAATTATAAGTAGACATCTAACGTTAATTTCTCATTATTGTAATAAAACATTTGACAAAATTAATTTTTATATATACTACTTTGATCAACAATTCAAATTATTTTAAATGGCTATTATTTTTTAGTATTATAACTATTTAAGATTTCATTAATATTCTTACTAAATCATAGAATGTTTACTAAGACAAATTAGTTGTATCAATCTTAAACTGTGTAAATATATTTTTTAAGTATAGCTAAATACCTTATATTACAAATTGTGAGAATAGAACATGTCAAAAATAATACAAAAATATAAATATACAAAAATATACTCGGTGTATAGATTTGTTGTTTAAACAGCTTAATTAATTCATATACATAGGATCAAATATTGTATTCTTCAGTTCCCCAATTCAAAGCACCACCAATCTCTTCATAGTGTTTCTTTATAGTTTTATTCAAAGTATCATATATGTAACGACATCCTCGCATAGCTTCGGTTAGCACAGGTTCCACGTGGTTGATGTGCATTCTCTGTGATGTTTCCAACATGGCAATCTAAAGTTCAAAAAAATTAATTAATGTATACAGATCATAACAGAAATCGTAGCAAATAATAAAAACAAATCAATTGTGTACTTTTCCAGAAATGGGTAATATTGCTACAGTTATACTGGGACCGCCCAGTGTCTCTTCCAGATGACTTATATCCACTAATGGCACTTCACCATTAGCTAAGCTAGACGTACATGAGATCACAAATTCTTCCATGGCAATTCCTGCATCTATTAAAGCTAATGTAGCAGCATTAACACAAACACTATAATTACCGCCATCAGATTGTAAAACCTAAAATCAAAATTTTTTTTATTGGTTACACTTTTAGTAAGAATACAAATTTTTACATATTCATATTATGCCAATATTTTTTAAGACATATTTGAGATCAAGGCTCAATCAACTTATAAACTAGTGAAAATGAATAGTAAGACTACTAATAGCAGTACAATGGTTAATATTAAAGGGCTGAGATTTTGATGCGAGAGCATTTTTTTTTCTTATATTCCAACATGTAGGTTCATAAGCAGAAAATGTGTTTAAAGTGATTAATTTAATGCAGTTTTTATTTTGCCATTTTTTTTTTTTTTTACATTTTGTGACAAATTTAACTTTAAATACATTTTTAGGTATATTTTGCTGTTTTTATTGCATTTTTCAGAATTTATCTATTAATTCTTAAATATTAGGGTTTTTGATCACATGTTTCAGCATTTGTTTGCTCAAAACTTGCATATTTAGTATGTTATCTGTTAAATTGATAAACTAATAAATATAACCATATCAGCCCTTGTACATATTTTATCAAAAATAGAACAAAATTAAAATATTTGAAAGACATTTTTCTAATTGCAAGAGTTCAACAACAATCAAATTTAAATAAAGTTAAATAAAATGTAAATATTAAACAAATAGGTACTTATTTTATTATTATTATGAAGAATAAATATAATTAAATATGTTTGGTAATATGATTTTTATAGTACCGTTTATAATCTATTATAAATCTATTATAAATAAATATTCTAACGTATTTTTATAGCACATTTTTCATAATTTTTAAAGCATTTTTACATTTTTTGCTATTTTTAAGAGCATTAAAATCCCAAGCCTAGTTATTAATCTTAAATAGAATTTCAGGCATTTTTTAGAGATGTAGGTAATTTATAATAATTTTGATGACATATGATTATTATTAGGTATTAATATTAAGCCATAATAATAGGATCTTTATTATAATTCAAATGTTCATTGTCAATATGAAATTGAACCTGAATTATACATTGATAATATACTAATATACGACTATATTTTATATACCTCTACAAATATATCGATCTGAGATTTAGGATATAGGTCGGTTTTAATTGCAGTCGTCATTGCTTGTTTGAGATGAACTGTTAATTCAGCTGACTTGTTGTCTCTGGGTCTACGTTTCCGTTCACTTCTACTGAACGTCGCCATACTGTATTGGCAGTTGATGACCGCACAGTCATTGGGCGCTTTCGATCTGTTGACCCGAATCTGTAAACACGAACAATGTCAAAGGGACATGCGGGCCATTTGTCGTCCAACCGTTGCTCCGCAAACGGCTATTGTTAGCCGATCGACTGACAACGAGTCCGAACGCTGTGGCAGGTACGTACCTCGTGCGGCCCGTAGACGGCCGCGAGCACTTTCGTGTTGCCCTGTTCCAGGTACGCGCTACCATCCGGCTGGTTGAACACTCCCATCTTGCAACTGATCCTGCGCAACTCGTCGGACCGCCGGCCGTCCGTCCTCAGCCCTTGTCTGCTCAATAAATCCATCGGTGCTGTAGGTGGTCGGTGATCGCGTATCCAAAGGTTTTTGCCAAAGCCGCGATCGTTTCGTGGTTCTGCGGTGCCGTTATCACGAACAATTTCCGCCGCTAGCATGCGGTTTGTTAACAATGTGACCGCGAGCGCCATCTGTCTTCTCACGCCTCCGTACGTACGCTTACGTAGTATTTTTTTTAAATGTTTTCCCCACGTTTTAGATTTTCACGATGGAGCGCGGCGAACGCGATACTATTGTTACCGAAGACTACATGAAAATAAATATGGTGGTATTCATTTTTCTAATATTTTTCCGTCTCGAGCTTATTACTAGGTATACCTAATCCGGCTTTTCGTTTCCGTCTTAATCCCTTCGATCGGGGCTAAATGCACCCGATACCGATCGTGTTGAGAAATAATTATGCCGCCCACGAACACCGGTTTCCTAACGCAGGTAAACCTTCTAATCAGTGCCGTATCTCCCAGATAACACTATAAGCTAGTGCTTAGGGTGGCGATTTCTCGAGGGCGGCAAATCATTTTTAGTATTACATTTTTATTATTTGTCACTAGAACTAAAATAAATGCAACTAATTATAAAAGGTTTTGCTTTATTAAAGCCGATGGGTACTAGACACTAACTATTTAATTTTGAATATAATTTAAAAATTAACTATTTAAGCATTTTTTTTATCATATTTTTATAGTTGAATTTTTCATATGTATGTATGCACTTTCATAACAGCTGTATATTTTTACTTTACCTACATCATTAAAATGTTAAGTAATAAAGGAAATAAATGCTGAATAATACAAAAATGTATTCGTTAAAATTATAAAATATACTTAAATAAAAATATTTTATTTTTAATAATTTTATAAAATACTAGCTGACCCGACAAACGTTGTTTTGTCATATAAATTATTTCTAGAGAATATTTTGCTAGAAAAAAATAACTAATTAAATATAGGCATGTAAGAATGTGGGTAAGGATAAGGATGTAAGGAAGAGATATGGAGTGCTATGAATGGTGACGAAATATAAAAATGAAAAAACATCAAACATTTATTTTTTTAATAATTTATTAAAATTGATCCATGAAAATTATATATATATATATCGCTAATTATGACAATATTAGTAAAAAACAATATCTATCCCTTAATGCAACAGAGTGTACAATATATTTTGTTATCCCATCTTTCGCCAACACAAACTGGATGGCTCGAGGGCACACCACGTATAATTATCCGTGTGAAAAATATGATGTGCTCAAATCTAAGCTACAGACATTGTTTGGCTTTGAAACTTATTGATAGTCATTGCAAATGCCAATCTAATTGAAAATTTAAGGCATTTAAATTGTATTGGCACATCTGTGGATATAATAGAGATTCGCGGTAATAATATATTTTCACCTCGGAATTTGCCATTTAAAATTATGGCTTCGATAACATTTTTCATTAATTTTTTAACAACTTATCGCGTGCCGTTGTACAACCGTGGTAGGTCAAATTATGAAGCAAAATAACCGGAGAACAAACCTTCAATTGTAAATTATGCGGTGGCATGCCTGGTAAGTCCAATGAGTTTATAAACTCTGTTAGATAATTTACAGCTTCAGTAGCATAGCAAACTATATCTATAGATTTTTATGACACCATGTCTCCTAGTAATAAATGTTTATCTTGAGATTCAATTCGTTGACGTCCACATTTTTTACTACTAAAATTGCCCTTTCTGCCAGCCACTCATGATTTGTGTATTGTCTGTGTACATTGGAAAATATCTAGTCAATGAGAGCATCTTGCGAATAAATGATTGTGCAGAAATCGGTCGGTAATTTTATACATTCCGTTTCATCTGTGTCACTTTCCCATCTCCAATATCTAACAATTGTTTTGAGAATCTTCTGCACGCAGCTTTTTTTGATTAAATCGCAAGTATCAAAATCGTTCGCTCTCTATCTTTACATACATTTCGACCATGAATTGTTGACGAAGCTCATGATATCGTAGAATGATTTTGTCCTGATCGCGTTTAATCATCAACCGATATGCATAATAATATTTCGAACTAACATTCTTATTTGTTTTGACACCTGTTGCGGGATCTTTTTTTGTTTAATATTTATAGTTATTTATAGTTTTTAAATAGTTTTTTTTATAGTTTTTTAATAGTTTGATTTAATAATTCATTTTCAATTGCGCAGTTATCGATCGGGTCAAAAATTATTAAATTAAACTATGATTTATTAAACAATAGCACTTTTCCAAAAAAAATGTTCGTAAAAACCTTCTCCTGGCAATTACAAATAAATTAAAAAAAATTTGAGCTAAATCGGCCCAGCCATTCTCAATTGATGAAATGTTATACATTTTTGGCTAATCTAACTAATAACTAATTATTTATTAACTTTATCGGACTAATTTTTTGCCTTAAACCTTCTCTGTGATGTCCTCTTTAATTTAAAAAAAATTGCACGACGATTGAATAAGTAGTTTCGGAGTTTATCCCGAACAAAAAAAAGCGACTTCATTTTATATAGTAGTAATAGCTAACACAATTATTTATAAAACGTATCCAGGTCAACGTATTATATGAAAAAAAAAACAATGATATAAACATACCTAGTCAATTTGGCAAATTTATTATTCATTTTTGAAAAACCGCGACATCGCTTTTTGTATTTTCTCAAAACTTACAGTAAAGTGTTTATCGTGTTTATCGACAATCTCACGTCGACTTACAAGTGAATCAATATTTCTGATAATATTCAAATATTTTTCACGTTTCAAATATTTTTCGAACATCATTTGAAATGTCGACTACTGAATCGAACGGCAAA